ACATCAGCAAAATTTGCATATTTTTCTGACAAGGAAGGAGAACCAGGCAGTGGTATGGGAGGAAGAGAAGAAAGAGTCTGATACCTGCAAATGGTGTAGTTGACATTTTTGAGAGGAAAAAGAAATAATTCCTTATTCCTAATGGATATCCAGATTATGTGTTTGTACCTAGTCTATCTCCAAGACAGTAGGGACATGCAAGGAAGCTGTGATAGACAGGGACAAGCATTCTGTATGATCATTTATTTTCAACTTCAGAAAAGTTGTACATTGCCATATAGAACCAGCTTAAAGAGATTATCTGTCAGTTGTCGCAACTAGCATATTTCTCTAATAAATATGTGGGCCACCCAAACTGACCGCCCTAGTCTCATCTATGAAATTAGCTGGTGTGCCAAAGTCTGTAAGAACACAGGATTATATTTCTATGCTGGTGGGGTGCAAAGAGTAAAGGGATAATAAAATGTTCTTGCCTGCTGTTGGCCGTCTAAGCTCTTCTTAATTGTCTGAAAGCCCACCTGCTGAGCTCTTGGGAGGGGAGCCTATGAAGTTTCCCAAATACTTTTGGGCATTTACTCATGAGATGACTTGCAATTCTTCAGATGCAGCACTTTCCAGCTGATTCAAAAGAAAGAACTTCAGTGGGACAAGCCAGGAGAAGGTTCCCTAGAATTCCATAGTAAAAGCATAAACCAAAATCTCCCTTCTTTATTTCTCCACTGCAAACAAGGATGGATGCAAGGAGGCAATCAGGTGGGGGGTAGGATGATGAAAGGTTGTAAAACTTCCTCCCCCTATTATTCCCTCCATAACTTAGCTCTTCCACTTGCCCATCAATTAACACAATGTTGAAACAGTTCTTCCAAATTCTCTAGTATGGCCTGTCCTACTAATTCATCCCTCTGTTCATCAGAACATCTTTCTGAAAACTGGCCAGTCAGGGCAAGATCATTCCAATGCATACATCTGGCATACAACTGGAAATCTGATATGTACTCACAACCTCAATGATTTCCTTGCTTCAACTTGTGAGATCTCCTCGTTTGTGGTTGCTCTTCTGGGTATACCATCAAAAGCAGCTTTAAATCTTTGCATGAAGTTCTGGTAATTATCTAACAATGCATCATTACGGAGCAGCACCATCTGGCTGCCTCTTCTTTCAGCAGACTAAGAACAAAGGTGACCTTAGTTCAGCCTATAGAAATTCCACTTGTTGGTCCACCATAAGCAACTCACACTGCAAAATGAAAGTCAGGAATTGATCTTGAGCCCCTCTAAACTTCTCCAGTGGGTTACCAGGAGAATGGAGCAATACTGGTTGTGCAGCAACTTGTGGAGGCCATTCCTGGCTGAGGTAAGCCTTGTCCCACATGCTGTGCTGACTGTATAATAGCAGGTGTGTTACTTTTGTATCTACCTGCTGTACATGCTTTAGTAATGCCTCTGCTGCTTGGTCTGCAGACAGGGGTATGCTTCAAGGACCTGTCACCACATTCTCGCTCTAGAAGGCAAGGTCCACTGCCTCTTTGATGAGACAGTAGTGAGACTTTCAAGATTGATGTCATCCCTTCAGGATAGCAAGGTCAAGAAAGAGACACAGCAGGAATCTCAGGCATGTTTGTTATTGTTGTAGGATAAAATAATAGAATCTCAAAAGCTCGTCAAAGTTTCTTTCTATATCATCTTATACCAAACAAAATAATGGCATGGTTATTTTGGGTTTCCTTCATATGCGTTCCTCTTTTTCAGGAGTGAGCAATCTTTTCTGAAACTCCTTCCTTCAAGGTACTCATTTCTTCCCCATTCCTAAGTCCAGATCTACATTTGTTCACACACCTGCTCTTTAAGCAGAAGCTGTGAGTCTCAACCTTAGCAGCTTGAAGATGTGTGGACTTCAACTCCCAGAATTCCCCAACCAGCTGGCTGGGGAATTCTGGGAGTTAAAATCCACATATCTTCAAGTTGCTAAGGTTAAGAAACTCTGGTCTAAAGGAACTCTGAAATGGCAGACCCCTTCCAAGCAGGGGAGTGCAACCCTGTTCAGAGTCAGAGATGGAACTTCCCTGGAATCCTTCACACCACAAACTCAAAGCCACTCCATTTGGAGGCATTCAGTCAGAGTATGTTCCTCCCCATCCATACCCTGACAGATTTCAGGGTCAGCACTTCCATTGCATTATCTGTTTGGCCTGGGGATAAGATGTATAAGCTTTTCACTATGTAACTATAGGAATCTAGGATACCTTAGTAGAGAGAATGTTGAAGTAACCACGGCTAGAAGGTCTGCAACTTTAAAATTTCTGTCCTCAAGAGGAGGGAAAGATAAAGAAGGATGAAGCTTTCTATTCTTCCTCTAGGAAATAGTTGAAAGAGACAGTTTAATACTCTTCCAATTGGGGAAAGTAGAACAAAGACAACAGCAACAACAACAACAAAATCCCAAGGTGGAATCTCTTGATTGTTAACTCTGCTTATAATGCTTCTAGCAGCAAAGTGGGCAAACAGTACAAAGAGTGGATACTTCTAAAATATCTTCAGGTTAATATCTCTGGCACCAACTGACAGCTCATTTTATCTTGAAGATTCTGGTAACAGTCCCTCAATAGCAGAAGGATCATCTGCCATTATCTTCTAAGGAACAGGACTTTATCTTGACAAGCCTTTTCTCTTGCATATTTTGTGCATAAATGAACTTCATCTGAGCTTTAGTCTTCTCGATGAGTGAGAACTGAATAAATCCTTGGCTGCCTACAAATTTCTCAGTAGACTTTGGTTCATCAGTTCCAAAGTCCAGTAACAATTTGTGTAATCGTGCGCATTCCTGGCATGCCTGCATCTCTTAGACATATTCTGGTTCTGTGGATGGAAGAACAACAGCTGGACAAACTGCTTCCAGCTGGACCAACTGATTGCTCCATCTCTATAGAAGAACCAGCAGCTATCTACTTGTAGACTTATGATCTGCAAATATATGTCATATCAGTCTGGGATTACGGTTTGCTGATAGCTTTTTCAGGCTTTTGACTCCAGTGCAATCATTTTTAGTTGGTGCCTTCACTTTTCTGCTATGGCAATATTTGATCTTGTATATATAGGAGCTGTCCAATTGCCTTTCTGTGCTGTTTGTTATCTGATAGAAGCTTATCATTTTTATCCTGCTTTAGGAAGTTCATCTTCATTGATGCACCAAAGTTTTTGGCTTTTGTTACTTCAGAAGGCTTTTTATCTTTTGCTTTTGAAGATCACTTCCATCCTTTTTTCTATCTGAGTACCAAGGTTATAGATCTCTCACCTCTCATTGTTTAGATGCTTCACAATCTCATGGTTATTTTCTTTCCCCCGATGGCATATAATCACATCATCTACATACCTGAGAATAAAGGACCATCTGTCAATTGAGTTTTGAGTATAGATAGGGGACAGATTTTCCTTACATGAACTACTTCTTAAGCAGCATTTGGTTCAACTTCTCATTCAAAGCTCTTGCTACTTATTTCAGGCAATAAATGGAAGCTTGCATAAATGACCTTATTTTCTAAGCTCTTAAAACCTTAGTGGTTACTCCATTTAAATCTCTTTCATGATTTCTCCATGCAAGAAGACAGTTTTCACATCTAAGAGAGCTATGTGCATCTACCTTGCTGCTGTTCTATGGAGAAGCAGCTTTATGGAATTTTTGAGCAAATCTCTCATCATAATCTTTGTCTTATTTGGGGAATATCTCTTGGCTAGTAATCTGACCTCCAATTGCTGGATGTCAACTTCACATCAAACTTGATTTTAAAAAGCCATTTGCCTGTACATTCTGTCTTCTTGCGGGTAGTTCTGTAAATACTCATATACAATTCTTATGTACAGGCTTAATAACATTGTTTGGAGCAACTCCTTATTTATGAGCTTCACCACCTGGCATTCCTCCCTTCTCTTGCCACATGGAGGCATCTTGTGTTTCCTCTACTTTGGTAATGGAGGAAATTCTTTCAGGTAGGATGAGCTACTTGTGTCTTGTTCAGCATCTCATTTCAAGTTCAGTTTCTACATTTCTTTCTTATTCAGATTCATTGGCTAGTCCAGAGCTTACCATTAATTCTTTGCTGCTGCTTTGATTCCCCCTTTACCTAGATGCTTGGTCCTGTTGCTTTACTTCTCCTTCTAAAAGTAAGCAACACTGTTCTTCGTGTGTGTGTGTGTGTGTGTGTGTGTGTGTGTGTGTTCACTTCTAATATTTTCAAAATGTTCTGGGGGACTGTTTAACATCAATCCAATTAAGACTGCTTCAGGCAGAGTCACCTCTTGAACTTTTACCTGGCGTGATACCTTCAACATCTTGTTAACAAGTATAGATAAGCATGTCACGCATAGATTCTTCTTTGCACAGATCTATACATAGATCCTTCTTTTAGGCTCTTATTCCAGAGCCTTTTAACAAGGCGCACTTTAGAAATGATAGACTTGACCCAAGTCTTTTGCCCATCCCTGAATTATACTGATCTCTGGCTTTGGAAGCACTGCTAAGTGCTAATTCCTTTGTTTCTGAAAAGAATCTCTATTTTAAAGGACCACAGCTCCGATTCAGATCTTTCAGTTTTCACCCACCTGAAATCTCTTTCCTGTTTTCTTTTATAGTCACAATAGTTATAAATCCCTTTGGAAGTGAAGCAGCTGGTCTGGAGGCAAGAGGAACCAAGGAAGGGACAGGAAAAGAAACAAAGGGTAATCCTTCCTCTATTGCAGCGTTAAGCTGCTCCCATGCATAAGATGAAGAAAATCCCATCTGGTTTGCAATTCTTGGGCAGCACTGATCAGACTGATCAGGTGTTTAGTCTAGACTGTGGACTACTATGAGTCCCCCTAGACAATCCCCTTGCTGCTGTACCCTCCCTCTCACTGAAACATCATATTGCCCTACCTATGGGTGGACATATGATGGCTGAGTTGATTTTTGGCTCTCTAATTTCCATGTACTCCACTGAGGAAATGAAGAAATGATGAACAAATCATTTGGCCATCACACATCATGTATATTTATCATTTCATTGTTTCATCAATGGTATCACCCGATATTCTTTTTTTCTTACACAGTGCGTAGTTTGGACATTGACCCAGTAAATAACCCAAGGAATAGAATCCTTGAGAGGTCCAAAGTTTCTACAGTGAAACACTGAAATATTTAGTTCTTTAATCCAATAGTACTATATGATGAAATGTTGAAGTATCTTCCTATGGTACAATATGACAGTACTATAATAATACTATAGGGCTCCTGGAATAGAATAGAACTTCACTATTTTGACCTAGCATTGTAGAATGGAAGGGGGTGAGTGGTGAGGTTATCACAGGTAACTATGACTTATTGAAATCTTTGTGAAAACCAGTGGGTACAGGATTTCACTAGTCAGGGATTCTGAAAAAGTGTCTCTTCCAGAGGCTGAGACATCAGAGAACCAAAAAGTGGAATGCATCTTTCAGCAGCTGACTGGTAAACTTACTGAAACAAAGAAGCCCAGGGTCAACATGCCATTGTTTGCTGGGTATTTGTTTTTTTTAAAGAAGGGGAAACAAAATAAACGATTGGCATAGTTCACAGGTCTGGTCTGTGCAATAGGACCACAGAGTCTGGCATCCTAGAGCACATTAACCATGCTGGGCAGAAACTAGAAAGGAGAGGGGGCATTCCTGCCAGAGGCTGCAGTAGCCAATTGGACTGGACAGGTTTTTTATAAGAAATTGAAGTGCACCACACAAACTGGACATTACAGCTTGAGCCAGAGCAAGATGGATAACACTACATTTGACACCGAACCAGGAAACATTGACAGAAGTTGCATTAGCTGCTGGTTGGAGGTGGGTTGAGGATGATACCATGCATTCCTGCCCACCAGAAATCATGGTGGCCTGTGTTTGCCCTGGTGTAAACTGGAAGTCTGGATCTGCCCAGAGAAGGAAAGTAGCTTACCTAAAGTATACTGGAGGTCTGAAACTGACCCATGTCAAGATTCTTAGTACAAGGGAAAAAGGTATGTGCATGTGATAAGGTAGTCCAAAGGTTTGAGGCACAGTTTTGGACTCATACAGTGGACATTCAAGATGCACTGGACAAGGTTTTTAGTAGCAAGCAAGAACTAGAATGTACAGCAAGCTTGATTAAATCTGCCTAGCAGGTGTCTCCACGTAGATGTTGCTTAACTCATCTGGCAGTCCTGCTCCTGCCAGCTCAACTTCAGCTACTTATTTGCAGCCAGAGATCTTTCCTCTCTAGGACTGAAAAGGCAGGGGCAAATATCTTCTCATCTCCAGATATTTCCACTCCTGGAGAAGTTTGCCTCCAGCTCTTCCTTAGCAGGTGGTGTGATTCCCCTGTTCCCAGTGATTCTTGGTCCTGCAGAGGCAGCAACTGTTTCTCATCTAAGGATTCCTTGGAGGCAGTCTTGACACATCCATACGGAATACTGTTGGCTTTCTCTAGAAATTGGGCTCCAAAAATCCTGATGACCACTAGAAGTCAGAAAGAGATACAGGTGAATCTTACTCTTTGATGTCAGATTTTTGTACTCCAAAGATGATAACCCTATTCTCACACCTTTTAAAATAATGTGGTCAGATCTCCCCTTCACTGGGCCCTTAACAATTTTATAGGGAAAATATTGAGGTAACCCTGGTTGGAATCCTACAGTTCATTCATTCTGTTCTTGTCCAAGGAAGTAGGATGAAAGGGACCACTTAATAATATCACACACACACAGAGACACAACGAGGGAGTCCCTTGCTTGCCTACTCTTAGTAGTCAAAAGGATCAAAAGTGCAAAGTACCGATGCTTTTAGAACTAGGACTCCAAAATCCTTTTGTAATCTTTCAGAAGAAAACCAAAAAAAAAGACAAAAGATTGGGCCAACTATCAGGACACTCTGGCCCAGTAAACAATACTTGGAATGATGTGGAAATAAGATTTAGTTCTAAAATACCCTGTATTTGAATGAAAACATGTGCTGCTCTGGCACATAACAAGCCATGTAGTAACCTGTCCAACTGTGGCTTGCTTCTATATCTAAACCCATTTTAAGAATGTTTTTAGATTACAAGCTATTCTTTAAGCTATAGCCTGTTTTTGTCTTCTAGAATCCAGCATATTTACACCATAATTAATCATGACAGATTCACACTAAAGAGATTCTTTCTCCCTCCTTCCAGACATTGGCTCTGTTTTCAATTAACCCTCCCTCTCCCGCAAAAGGTTTAGATTAGGATTGCCTATCAATTTTTAAAAATGTACATTTATCTTAATTCTTACTTGCTTTTGACCATCCGTTATCTTAACCTTGTTCTTGTGTCACGTGCCAAGGCAATGGAACTTGTGGAAAAAGCTTTCTATTGTGCAGATCTGAAAGAACATTTAGGAACTGGGGGATACAAAGTTCTAGTTCTACATGGAACATAATGCACCTAACTTAGATATTTGCCCTGCTTACTAGTTGTTTTCTGGATTCAATTCAAAATGTTGGTTTTGTTTTTAACCCTTAAACTTTATCCATGAAGGCCAGGATAATCTGTGGCTGGGTCATACCAAGAAATGACTTTTCCTATATTTTCCCCATGAGCTCAGATGTCATCAAAGGTCAACCTGCTTACAGTTCCCTGATGTATTGAGCTGTGGGTGAAATAAGGCGGGTCTTCACCATGACTGAACTTTCTCTCTCTAACATGCTATCTTGTCAGTTTGGGAAAAATGGATAGTTTGTTGAGAAAGCTTTTCATTTTGGTGGAGTCTATTTTTAATCTTGTCTATTGCTGCTGTTCTGTTATGTCAACTTTATTTTACTTTCAATTTTCTAGCTGTTGTGAGAGTCTGTATTTTGAGCAAGTTGCTTAAGATACATCCCAGAATGGGGTTTGGAAGTTCTTGTAGCAAGGATGGAAGTTAGAGTGGAGTTCATGGGAACACAGTTATGTTTGGATAAATCCATAAATTGGGACTAAATTTCTATAGATCTCTAGAATGTCATCTCTCTTGAAAGAGATGAGTATCATATAGATATAATGAATATACTATCTTACTAGCTTATGGGTGGCTAACCTTTTTTTTCAGTCATGGTGCCAAACGTTGGCAGCCAAGCTCATTTCCAATTTTGTCAACAGATTGACGAACGGGCTATAGGCCCTGTGTACAGACACACACAGTCTGTGGATTAGGTACTCCTATACTAGCTGAAAATATGCTAGACCTCAGATAACAGTATTACGCTCAATGAATCAGTAGCTTATTGTTGCTGCCTATGAAGAAAACATTGGGCTCAAAACAAATGTAGGCAGTGCTGTTCATTTGGTCCCCCCAGAACATTTAGCCTAATTATCTGAACTAGTATTAAAATTTTTCCATTAACTCTAGTACCCTCTGAACAGTCCAAAATGCTTTTGGAAAAAAACTCCCCCTTGCTCAGAAGCAGAGTGTATGTGCTTCAAGGGTAACATAAATATTACAGGAGATGCATTTATATTCTCAAACTAATCCAAATGCTATAAAATAACTCCTCCTCAGGTCAGCGAGGGTTTAAAGAGCCTTTGGTATATGCCAAATGTTCTGTATTGAAGTGCACACACCCTGGAATGTTTCAAAGGAAAAGAGGAAAGAGAGATAAACGTAGCCTTTCAGCCTTTAGTTCCATTATAATAACTGCTGACTTTCTCAGTTCTTATGAAGGCCACCCACCGGGTGACTGGAGGAGAGAATAAACAGCTTAATTTACAAAAAGGTGCCTCTTGAACAAGCAAGCCTGTGATTGCTCTGGTGCAAGCTCAGGAATGTTTGCAAGTGGCTTATCCTGTGAATGTGCCAGTTATGAGTATTAATAACTGCTTAACTCCATAAATCAAGCCAATGTATTCAGACATATGCCTACACCAATGCCGTTAATAATCTTGTTTACTTCAGGTGCTTTTATCAGGGGTTTCTGAGGTTACATTCTCATTACGCTGCACATTGAAAGAAGGAAAGATGTGTTATGTCAGGAGGACACCCTGAGGGCGCTGCCTTTACTGCAAAGCTTCCCAGCCACAGCAGGAAGCAAAAGAAACTTGCAGCTGCCAGATTCCATAGCAAAAAAATATTTGATGTTCTCAAGGCCAGATTAGGCCAATAGTGATTCTGTTGATCTGTGTCATCCTGTTACTGATTAAACATACGGACATCAAGGATGATAGAAAAAAACAGAATGTGTCTGCTTAAAGAATGCAGCAAGTTGTTATCAAGTGACTAAGCATGTTCCACTGTGGAGCAGCACTCACTATTAGCAATTTTCTTCTAACACGGATGAAAATCTCTTTCCATCCAATTTCCAGTCATTGAATCTAGGCCTGCCTCTGGAATTAGAGAGATCACCTCTGCTCTCTCTTCTGCACAATAGTCTTTTAAGGCCAGCTGTACTGTTAGGTAAATTAACAGCCTCAGACAGTGGACATTGGAGGGCGAATCTGGAACCTTTTCTTTTTTTTTTGTAAATAATTTTATTGAAGATTATATAAAACAAATAAAACTAATACAAAAGCCAAATACAAAAACACATTAAAAATAAAATAAAAAAGTAAAAAGAAAAAAAAAAAACCCCTCCGCAAAAAAAAAGTAATAAGAAGAAACTTCCCCCTTCCTTCTCAGCAAGTATATACAACATTAATAGCTTATCACTGTCTCTTAAAATACTACCAAATACATCTTTAATCCATACTTCACCCCATTTTCTATAAACCCATCTCTAAATCCTCAGCTCTCCTTTTTAA